TTTTTGGCAATGAATTATTGATAAGCTCAAAGCAATGGAAGACGGATATCTCAGTTTTGGTACTAAAATTGGAAATCTCCGATTCAGGTACCTTACAAAATCTGCCTTCTTAAACTAAGCTTTAGTCCTTAATTCATTTCCAACCAGCTCTAAAAGTACTGGTCCCTAGGATGTTTAAAAATGTACAGGACTTTGGAAAAATAGTACCTCTTTTCTTTTAAATATTCATATTTGTTTTGGTACTACCTCGTCCTAAGTAGAAATTAGAACTATAGGGAATGAAAAATGATAGTCTTATTTTTTTTGGGCCTTGAGAACCCAATAGGAATAATTTCCCTCTAGTACATAGCTTTCTTTTCTTTTTGGGCCACTCTTTTGGGCTTAGCCAAACCAGAACAGTTACGTTTCTCAAACCAATCGAAACTGATTTTCTAATTAAAACAGTTTCAATTCCTTAGTAACTGGTAAAAGATTCCTTCTACTTTTCAACTTCTTGGAAGTTGAAACTCCTTTACTCTCACCGTTCCAACTACCCACTTAATGGAACCCGTGAAACTCCTCCTCCCCTATTTAAATCAAAGTATCTCAATCCACTTTCATCACAAACAACTCTCCCAATATGAAAAGTCTTCAAACTCACTGTCTAAGGAATACACCAAGAAAAATATCCTCAATGGAGAAACTTTTCTTTCTCACCCTCATAGACGGCAATGGAAGAAGCCTATTGAGAAGAAAAGACTTTTAAGGTCTATGGTGAGAATCTCGGTAGTAGAGAAGGTCTATGGTGAAAAGCTTTTATTTTTCAGTATTAGACCATACACCTTCTCTGGAACAACACTCTCTCTATCTTTTTTGAAAGATGTGTTGCTTCCAAGATCTTGAATATCCACTTTGGATATTAAAGATCTATCAAACGCAACGCCAACTGCTCAGCCAAGCAGAATCTGCTGAAGCTGAAAACAGTCAAGGCGGAAGAAATCACAAAATCTCAAGACAAAAACTTGGTTTAGGAATTATTGTAATTTGAATTGTATTTGTTTAAG